GTCCAAAACCAAAGGTAAACATATGTACTTAGGAAAAGAACCATTAAACAAAGAAACATTGCTAAAAAGTTTCATTATCCCACAAAAACAAACCACCAAAAGAATTAAGGGATGTAATGATGTGCACGCTTCTATTCGCAATCGCAAGTCAGTCTCAAAGACTAAATCTCTCAAAGATGGTCAACAAATATATGTTCATGAATAGTTAGCCATAACACAACTATCTAACTTTTACCCATTCTACAAACTAGGTACTAGTGAACCATCACATTATACCACATATATGGTTGCAAATCTACATGAGAACATAGTCTTGTCTAGAATGCCATCACAACCCATTGATTGGATATTCTACAAATATAATGGATCCCAAGTCAATTGACCACAAAAGTCAACCTGTACTATCTAAATGCACAAGCAGCATGCTAAAAAACATTTCCAAATAAATATGGTTTTCCAAAGTGAGTACATTTTATTAAACCAACATAAAACTTAATTCAATTTCCTAAACAAATTGAAGCTTTAAACTCACTCCATAGATGATCATGTCTACAAATGATAGTTTCATTATATCAAAATGAGTCTAGGAAACTCATTATAATAATAATTTAAGTATCAATTCCATTTATTATCACTCAAACGTGAAATCATCATTGTTAGGGTTTGAAAACTCAAACTAACATTTAGGCTCCAAATCAAGCAATAAATATGTGATTGCACTTTAAGTTCATAGATAAATGGCCTAATAAAGCAAAAAAATATGTTTAGGAGAAATCTCCAAACCATAGCTCGATGAAGAAGAACGAGAGGTTATACTTTTTAGAGCCTTAAAGAAGTGATTATAGCTTCTAATCTTCATTTTCACTTCAAATCCACTTCCAATCCTTTTTCAAATCCAAAATCGTCACCGAGCTCTCTCATTACTTCTCAAAATCATGAATGATATGGAAAGGGGAGAGTTAACGCTTCAATCGTGAATGATATAGAAAAGGAAGAGTTAAGGCTTCACTTCAATTTCACCTCGAATCATTCTTTTAACCTCTACACATCCAACTAGTTACATATTTTTACAAGAGAACTAAGCAATACATTTTTAACATATTTGGTCCCAACTAAATCAAGCCAAGGTTAAATCCATGCTTGGTGAATTTGGCAACTTTAGTCATTCTAGTCAAAACTTCTATTTAACATTTTTTTTTATCTTCTAATCATTCTTAAACACTTTAAACTTACTAATAATTATTTATTTCATTTGCTTCCAAGTTTTGTTTTATTTATAGATTTTTATTTATATTATTTTTTAATTTAATTTATTTGTATATATTTTTTTAAAATTATATATTTTATTTTATTTATTTGTTATTTAATTTATATATATATATATATATATATATATATATATATATATATATATATATATATATATATATATAATATGAATTGTAATAAAAAAATTATAAAATTTAGGCCCAAAATATGGATTTTATACTTGGATTCTCCAACATAGGTAAAATTAGATATACATATTGGCAATCTTAGAATTGTCTCGGAACGGTCCAATTTTTTAAGATTGACCATTTTCGATCCAATCTTTTTGGAATCAGTCCCACAGTATTTGCGTTTGCTTTTTTTCGGTTTTGTTTCGGTATTTTTTGGATTTTTGTTTTTTGGTTCTAGTTTTTCCGTTAACAAAGTGTGATTAACACCAAATGATACATTATGATTTAATAAAAATGGTACAATAGTTATTTATTAAAAGAATGAAGGACGAAGTTGGGTGATGTGTGATTAAAAAATATGTAATTAACAAAATAATTATATGTATATAGATTTTTCTTCCGGTCTTTTCCAAGATCAGTCTCGGGTATGTTTTGGACCAGTTTCGAAACAGTCAGTTCTTTTTTCGAACCGGTCTCGAACTGTTCAAGTATTTTTTCGATATGGTCTCGTTTTAGACCGGCTCCATTTCGGCCATTTTTTTTTCATTTCGGGTGGTAATATTGCTTCAACCCAGGGCTACTATTTGGCCAACATACGACTACCGTGAAAAGGGCGAACATTTCAGTCAAAAAGGCGGGCCGTTATGGTTGGGCTTCTGGGAAATGGGTTGTGCTGCTCATTTTTTAGGCTTCACTTTAGACGTGGTTTTGCGTAGGGATGAAAGTGGATCCAAACCCGGGCCGGATGGACCCGGACCCGGAAAACCCGGAACCGGTTAATGGGATTTTGTAGAACCGGAAACCGGACCGGTATATAGGAACCGGTTCCGGTTCGGTTCGGGGTACGGTACCGGGTAAAGTAGGTATAGAATCGGAAAACCCGGAAACATCAAAGTGGGTATGTTGGAACCGGATAAAGTGGGTTTAGAACCGGAAAACCCAGAATTTTTTGGTAATTACTTACTACTTAGCGGGTTGAACTTTGAAAATTTTCATATTGATATCCCGACTTTGGGGGACTGTAACTCATTGAATATGAAACCAAAATTGACAAAATTATAGTCTAAAATCATATACAAACTCTAAACTACAATCTGGAAAAAACCGCATGTCAATCCGACTTTAAACGAATGAGATATACATGTGTTAACATTTTCACAGAATACAAAGTACAAAAACAAATAGCTGAAAAGTTGAAAATTTTTTGTTTTGATATCCCGACTTCGGTGGACTGTAAATCATTGAATATTAAACCAAAAATGACAAAAGTATAGTCTAAACTCATGTATAAACTGTAAACTACAAGTTGGAAAAAACCACATGTCAATCCGACTTCAAACGAATTAGATATGCATGTTATAAAACTTTCATAGAATACAAAAAAACTGAAAAACTAAAAACTTTCAGCTTTGATATTTTGACTTTAAGGGACTGTAAGTCAATGAATATAAAACTAAAAATGGCAAATTTATAGTCTAAAATCATGTAGAAACTCTACACTACACGTTGAAAAAAACCACATGCCAATCGGAGTTGAAACGAATGAGATATGCATCTTTTAAACGTTTCACAAAAACCGGTTCCGGCCCTAAAAGTGGTTCCGGTTCCGGTTTTTAGACCCGGTTTACCCGGACCCAATGGACCCAAACCCGGATTACCCGGAACCCGGATAAAACCAATTTTTAAACCGGGAACCGGAACCGGTTCTATATATTCCAGTTCTAACGGTTCCGGTTCCGGTCCGATTTTCCGGTTCTCAATCTCATCCCTAGTTTTGCGATAGGACTCTAATAATTCTAAACAGGAGGCTTAGTTATTTTTTTTAAGCCTTTGTGCCGTAACATATTCACTTAGGCTATTAGATAATTTATTTTATTGGAAATAAGAACAAAGTATACCAAATAAATGTATTGGCCTTGTAATTCTTCGGTTTGAATTATGACTGTTTTATCGTCAACTTGGTTAATATGTTGTTATAAATGAAATTCACTTTTAATCCTTGACTTGTCATAATTAAAATCTTTGTAATGCATATATAAAGGGATTAATATCATGAAGTGTCAATAAAATATTTTATACTACTCATTCAAGTCATTTTTTTTTTTTCATTTTAATGTTTGGAAGGATAATGACTTACAAACATTGTTTAAAATATACATAAAATATCGTTAAAGCTATTTTTTTTTTTTGAAACGACAAACTAACTAATCTACTCCTAAATAACCACCTATGTCTCCACCGAGACTTGAACCCCTGACCTCTCATATGAGATGGTCACTCCATACCGCTAGACCATTGGCCATTTGGTCGTTAAAGCTTATTGTACCGGTATAATGTTGTTAAATACAACTTTCCTTTGAGCCTAGACACACTAATAGACAATAACTTAGAGACACAATATATAGTAAATAACTCCAAATTTTTACAAGAGTAAAGAATAATAGTTATGTTAAATACAAACTTCCTTTAACCGATACACAATAGTAAATAATAGTAAAATGTTCAGTTAATACACAATAGTAAATAACTAGTTAGCAATTCGTGATTCTATGGAAAATTGTGCATATACTTTTGGATTGTGAAAACGTGTATTTAAAAAAAAAAATTGTTTTTTTTATGTCTTTGCAATCTTACATGCATGAAAACGAGTATATAAAAAAATTAGAAAATAAATTTCTAACAATTTGTACAGTCATAGAATTTCATATATAACCATGCATAGAACCTAAGTTGTAAAAAAGGTTGTAGAAAATAATTTTATAAAAAAATACGATTCCGTAAAAACAAAGTTGTAAAAAATACTTTAAAAGAAGTTGTAAATCTTTTTTGTAAAAAAAAGTAAGTTAAAAAAAATCACACAAAAACAAAGTTATAAAAAAGGGGGCAATTTTGTATACATAAGCAAATTTGCAGCAAAAGTTTAAAGTTGGGTAAAAGTTGTAAATTAGTAAAGTTTGATGGGTCGGGTAGGTAGGACCCGGGTTGACCTCGTTGGGGACAAGATGGATAGTTGGGACTTGGAAATAAGGATCAGGTTATTTTAATAATAGTAAAAGATAGTACATGTAGCATTTTAATAATAGTAAAAGATAGTACATGTAGCAAACTTTCTTTACATCCGATTTTATTTAGATAAACAATTTAAGTTCTGTATTTTTATTTTTCATTGTCATTATTTCAATTTATTAATTTAATTTATTACAATTTACAAGCACATAATATAAAATATGCATTATTTATAGTTACTATTATTATTAAAAAAAAATCTCATTAACAACTTAAAAGATACAAAATATGTTCAAAAAATGCAAAACTTCTTCTCTTAAGTATAGATTTCATGTTTGTATAATCTTTTTACCATCTATTAATCCACTACTACAATACTTTTTGTAACAAACGTGTATAGTTTTAAATAAATAATCATAAATATGCTAATCACAGATTGTAAAAAGCATACTATTTTAAACTTAACCAATCAATTTACATATATCATGTTAGCAATGAATAATGAGTCTAAAACCATTAAGTTAAGATACTACATGTAATAATCAAATCAACATATTAATGCACCCTAAAAGAGCCAAAAACATGATCATGACACCCAAGTTCTTGTTTTACAAGACAAATTGGAAAATAAACTTCAACATCATTATTACCTTTCCAAAAACTCCCAAATCCAAACTCACCATTTCTAGAGAACTCCTCCAACACCTCTTCAACCTCCTCCATACACCCATCAATTCGAGAACTCTCAACTTGATCAACTCGACCCTTCATCAAGTCTCTTGGTTTCTGACACCCGACAACTTCTTTTGCGCAACGTGCCACTTTCACCCCCACTACTTTCCCACCATGACGCATTTGGTCCGTAAACTTTCTCTTGATGTATCGTATTGTTCTCTTGAGCAATTTGGTAGGAAGCTTTAGCAAGAAGAAAACTAGAAGTTGTAGCATCAAGCATTGACAACAACAAGATAAGACAAGACAATCAGCACCAATCATGTTCCAATCTTGTTGTTCCATGGTTTGAAAATGAAGGAGGGGGAAGAGGAAAAAAGGAATGGAAGAAATGGAGTCATTGCTTTTTGATGAAAATGGGTTCTCTATTTTCTTGGAAGATGGTGTTAAAAACGGTGGAAACAAAGAGTAGAGTGTAAGCAAACATGTAGTGGTGTGAATGGAATAGTTTGATAGCCTTTGTTTCGTTGCTTCCATTGGTGGGTTACCTCCCGATTTTGGTTGATTTTAGGACGGATCTTGTCCCCCTTTTTATGGATTATTTTGTTTTATTAACATATAATTTGAATTTATTTACTCAAAATTATTCAACTTGGAATTACATGTGGAGTTATTCATTCTCAAATTTTAGGTACCCACCAAATCTTCATTTACCCAAAAACAACCACTATCCACGTGAACAAATGGCAGCAAAATAACATTAAAAATGTTTTTTTTTTTTTTTGAACAACTTAAAATGTATTTTTCATAACATTAAAGATGCTCGTGGAAAATAAAGTCCCAATATTTTACAAATTCACCAAAGTTTAGAAAAACGTTCCAAAAGGAATAGCACAAGGTTTATCAACTCAATATATCATAACATAAGCAATAAGTAAACCACTACAAACAATGTTGCCATATAAAATCAACATCATCACTTGATAATTTGTCATAAATACATTTCAAAATACATAGTTTAGGCTTGGGAAGCCTAGTAAAAAGTAAATTTAAAAAGTACACGTCATAAAAAAATTGTTCTATAAATCGATAAAATGGTAAAAGTACGTTTTTTTATATAGTTTTCCCTTATATCAAAACCGCTAACAAAATTATAACTTCTTAATCATTACATCAAAACTGTTAAGTGACTAAAGCAATAAAATGATAAAAATACAAATGCTATTAAAAAAAAAAAAAAAAAAACTGCACTTATAATAAATTAACCAAAAGAATGGGATCAGGGTAAAGTAACCCTACACGTGTTACTTACAGGACTCGAGAATGTGCAGCTTTAAAAAGAAATAAATAAGCATACTATACACTATCTGACTATGGAGCCTACATACAGAACCCGAATGAACCAATAGGATCTCAGGCACGTGGGGTCGAACCCATGGATGGTGAAAATTGAAAAGTAAAAAAAAAAAAAATCTCGGTTTTTACTTTTTACCTGTCGTTACCATTAGGGCCAACGCTACCTTGAGTAAAAAAATCTGTGCTGTAATTTTGACTTCCAAATGCCATTCTGTTAAAAAGTCTAATCTCTGCGGATTGTTGTGCAGAGTTAAATATTTCACTTTCTCCAACTCGCATTCCGTTGCTTAGATCTTCAGTTTCCATGCTCTCGAATGCTCTCACAATCTGAAAAAATTTAAATGATTTTTCATTTTTTTAATTGATATAAATTAGTAATGGGGTTTCATTTATTTGTGTATTACTTGTCCCATGCGAGGTCTTTTTGCAGCAGAGTGTCGTACACATGCAGCTGCAGCTTCAATCATGTGAAACATCTCTTTTGCAACATAGTTTGTTCCAAGCTTTGGGTCTACTAATACTTCGAAGTCTTCAGTTTCAAGTGCATGACTAAGCAAAGGTCGAGCCTGTAAAACTTATGAATATTAGCAATATATAAAAAGTTAAAAAAAAAATTAATTTCATGTTTAAAAAATTATCAAATATTTATTTATATTTACCCACTCAACGAGACTTTCGTCTCCTAAAGGTTGAGATGCATCTACAGGTTTTCGCCCAGTAATTAGCTCCAAGAGAACAACCCCAAAAGAATACACGTCAGATTTCTCAGTTAATTTCCCACTTGATGCATATTCAGGCGCCATGTATCTGGAATTCATTCAACCAAAATTACCATTTTGCCCTTTTGACAATTAGTTGAACAGTTTAATTAAACTAAAACACTTTAATTAAACTAAATGGCTAAATGCATACCCGAAAGTTCCCATAACGCGTGTTGTTATATGAGTACCTAAATCTGCAGCTAATTTCGCTAGCCCAAAATCAGAAACCTGTGAAGTAAGGAATTTTTAAAAAATAAATAAATAAATAACCAATTCTTGAAAATAAAAGTACATAAAAAAAAAAAAAAAAGTGAAAATAGAAGGGAGTACCCTAGCTTCGAAGTTTTTATCTAGTAGAATATTTGATGATTTGATGTCTCGATGAATAATTCGTGGATGACCTGTATAACAATAAGATTGAATTAATGAATAGAAATAAATAAAAATAAAAAATAAATAAAAAAATAAAGTGTTCACTTACAATCTTCATGGAGATAAGCAATACCCCTTGCTGCACCAGATGCAACCTTTACACGAGTTGACCAATCTAAAACCACCTCTGACCCTACAAAAGGTGATTAATTCACAACTTAACTAAATAAGTGAGAAAATGTATATAACTTATGTGGATAATTAGATGAAGGAAAATATACCATGAAGATGGAAGTAAAGTGTGTTGTTAGGGACATATTCGTAAACAAGCAATCTGTTGTTTTCAGAGACACAATATCCAACAAGTGAGACTAAATAACGATGATGTATTCTACCAATAATTTCCACCTCAGCAGTGAACTCACGTTCCCCTTGTCCACCTCCAATTTTTAACTCCTTAACTGCTACTTCAGTCCCATCATCCAAGCATCCTTTGTATACATAACCAAATCCACCTGACCCTAAAAGATTCTCAATTGAAAATCCATTTGTTGCATTGAAAAGATCTTGGTATGTGAACTTTGGTCTTGAGTTTGTTAATCCACCTGTGTCTGGTGGAGTGTATATGAATTGGTTTTCGTTTTCTGATGTTTGGATCTTTAATAGACCGGAATCTGTCATTATAAATTATAAATATTTTTTCAAATTCGTATATATATTTAAGAATGTAATGTAGTACCTGACTTAGGTGAATTGGTCATTGAGGTTGGGAGATTGTAGAGTTCATTGTGTCTGGAAATTTTTTTCTTTCGTTTGATAATACAGCATGAGACTGTTATGATGACTGTGAGGAGGACAAGGGCTAGAACTGCTGAAATACCAATTATACCCCCGGTGCCAATGCCTCCGTTGTTGGATGGGGTGTTGGGACTTGAATCGTTGTTGCTTGGGGTTCCTGGAGGAGAGGGGAGGATTGTTGAAGGTGATGGTGGTGAAGGAGGAGGGGAGGCTGAGATTAGTGGCGGTGGTGAGGGGGTGGCAGGACGGGGGGTTGTTACTGGTGGTGGCGGTGGTGAATTTGTAGGAGGTTCAGAGGATGGGGGAGTACGTGGTGGAGGACGTGTAGTTGTTGGAGGTGGGGATGAGGATTGTGGTGGTGGTGGAGGTGACCTTGATGGTGGAGTAGAAGATGGATTAGTTGGTGGTGGGGGTGAGGGTGAGGGTGGGGATCTAGTGGAAGGTGTACGTGGTGGTGGTGGTGGTGACCTAGACGGGGGACTAGGTGATGATGGAGGTGGAGACCTGGTTGGTGGAGGAGAGGTTGTTGAAGGTGGTGGATTGGTCGGTGGAGGAGAGGTTGCTGGAGGTGGAGGAGAGGTTGTTGAAGGTGGAGGATTGGTTGGTGGAGGAGAGGGTGTTGAAGGTGGAGGATTGGTTGGTGGAGGAGAGGTTGCTGGAGGTGGAGGAGAGGCTGCCGGAGGTGGAGTATTGGTTGGTGGAGGAGGAGAAGTTGCTGGAGGTGGAGGAGAGGCTGCCGGAGGTGGAGTATTGGTTGGTGGAGGAGAGGCAGGTGGTGGTGAAGAATTGGTCGGTGGAGTAGGTGAGGATGGCGGTGGAGGATTGGTCGGTGGACTAGTTGAAACAGGGGGAGGAGAAGACATGGGCGGCGGTGTTGATGGAGGTGGGGAAATAACTGGCGGAGGAGGTGATGTCGGCGGTGGTGATGATGGAGGAGGGGATGACGTTGAAGGGGGTGGGGATTGGGTGGTTGGTGTAGGAGGAGGCGATTGAGGCGGTGGGGATGAAGTAGAAGGTGGACTAGAGTTAGGTGCTGGCGGCGGCAATGGTGTAACGGTGACTGGTGGAGAGTTTGGCGACGGTGATAAGCTTGCCATTCATAATATCAAAATCAAATACAACACGAAAGCAAGCAACAATAGACAATCTAATCTCTGTAATCAACAAATTTCTCATACATAAATCCGCTCAAATCCCAAAATGTTGAACTCTCTAGGTCTCAAGTTCATCACTTTAAGTCTTGAACGCAAAATACATTCTCAGAGACAAATCATCAAACACCTTCGGTGCAATTAATCTATCTCAGTACAATCAAAGCTACGGGAGAAAAAACCCAGATGAATCTAGAAGAGTTATTACTAGATTTAAGCATCTCGACCACAAAATCAACAGATGACATCTTACCTTTTCCCCTTGTATTTGACGACTTCAAGAGTTTCCTCGAATCATCAACTGTATAAACGCGGTTTCATTGAAGCAAGATCTCAAAATCCAAAACGCTAGTGACAAAATCACTGCGCTACAAGTGTCTAATACTGTCAGGTAAAAAGTGGGAAATATTCTTGATTTTGTTTAGTAATATTAAATTTGGGCGTTTTGCTTGAAATAAACTTCAAGATCAGCTGACGATGGATGATTGCGACTTGCACACGCCAAAATGTCAGCGTCGACTAATCAAAACAACCGTTTTTTGAATAATTAATAATTCATTTCATAGCAAACTTTGAATAGTTCTTCGAGGACCCCCGTTAACGTCTTCAAACTCTAATTTTGATGTCTTACTTACATAAAGTCATACGTATAATTTATTACTAATAATGTTTACTTTCAGATTTAGGTAATGAAATTGGAAATCATTGATTAATAAGTAAAGTACCTAAAATAACCCTGATGCTTAATAATAAATATATAAGACATATTTAAATTGGAATGTTGATAGATTTTAGATTTTAGATACGTCTTAACTAGTGAGCCCGATTTCAGTCGTAGTCGAACCGTCATATCCGATTAGTCAACCTACAAGATGAAAACAAACATTACAGCTTTCCTCGAACAACTCCAATAGGTAACTCTGTATAACTCGTATCGGAATGCAAAAACAAATGTATGTATGATTTAAATTTGAAATAGGAGCTTTATTGATGTGAAATTAGTACTTATAACATTTCCATAGAATCAAGTTTAATTGTGATCTTGATAGCATATTGTGAGATGAATGTCAAGGATTTCATAGTTGGATTTGGGAAATCAACAAGAAATTACTCATGTTGAGAAATTGTTATTTGAGTCTATTGTTACTATCTCGTTCTTTTGAATGTCTAGTTTGTGTATAAGACTAAATGAGAGTTAATTAGATGGCTATCTAATCTTTCCCATTGTAATTTTTTCTATTTTCTGCTAGTTTTCACTAGTTTTTAATAATATTTGGAGTATGATAATAAAAGCATACAATTAGGTGGGAGGATCTTGTTTTATACTTGGATGATTTTTCAAATATCAACACGGGAAATCTTATTGGTTCCTTGATATTGGGTGCTAGAGTTTTTCGGTGCCTAGAGCTTTAGGTAGTACTTAACAAGGTCTTTGGTGGGCACTGTTTGGATTTCGTCTAGTCGTTTAAGGTTTTTCCTTCCGACATTTTATGGTTAAGCTTTGCCTTGTCCCTCTATAGTGAGCCTCACATAAACCTTCAAAATTTGATCTTAGATAAGTACACTGTTACACTGGTACATTATGAGACAAAATAATGGGCGTTAACGATGTAACATGAAATTTATAATGGTTTAGGAACATGTGCAAAACATTTAGTTAAAAAGTTTGACTTAGGTCCCTAAGTATAATTGATTTCTTAATTTTGGTCCCAAAATGTTTTCCTCTCCAATTTTGGTCATAAATTTGATGTTTTAAAGCGATTTTGGCCGATATCCCAAATAAAATGACTATATTATCGTGTGTCATATTTTTTTCACAAAAGTTTAATGTTAGTTAATTACGATTCTATTATTTTATTATGTAGGTCCTATCAACACCCTTTCTTCCGACACGTCGATGTTAGCAATCCAAAATGAGATCCATATAATCATTGTTCTTCGACGTTAGCATAGCACTAACGGGATCCACTTGGAGGGTCTAAAGGGATAAAGTTGCAAACTTTATCCACTTAGACCTTAGAAAAGACCATATATGAGTTTTGGAGCCCTTGAAGTTGGAAAGAAAAGTAACTTAATACCATTCCCCACGACATGGCTCAGGTTGTCACGGCGTGGCGACTGGGTCAAGACCCATTTGTTTTGTCGTTGATGGCCACAACGTGGCCAAGAATGACCACGATGTGGCGACCTGTTGTAGTTGACTTTGACTTTGACTTTCAACTGTTGACTTTGACCAAGTTTGACCTATGGGCATTTTGGGTATTTTGAGCAGTACTTTTAGATTAGGTCATTGTTTATGTATAGGTGACATATAGAGTCATCAGTTGAAGCTGTGATCTATTCAACTATCTTTTCGGACTGTGAGGTGAGTTTACCCTCACTGTACTTATAGGTCGAAGGCACCAATGTCGGTTAAGTAGATTGTGTATTATAGTTTGGAATGTTGTTATATTGTAGTGAACTATTAAGATATGCATGTTTATCTGGTTACTGTTATATGTTTATTTGTTTTTACATGTCGACATGGTGTGCTTGGGTTGAGATTGTATTGCTTTATGTTGCCAGTCAACAAACACGGGAAATCCAACCGAAATGTTGTGGGCCGGTGGCAATCCAACTGTGTGGTTGTGGGCCGGAAGGGGGAAATCGAACCGTGATGTTGTGGGTCGGAGCAATCCAATCAAAAGGTTGTGGGTCGGGGGTAATCCAATCGTGAGGTTGTAGACCCAATATGTATTCTCTGTATATGTTGTGTTGTGTGGTACTTTGGGGGAGCTCACTAAGCTTTGGCTTACGGTTTAAGTTTATTGTTTCAGGTACTTCAGATGATTGGGGTAAAACCAAGGCATGATCGTACACATCCTTCGGTGTCATGTTTTGGAGATTTGATTACACTATGATTTTGGGATATTTGTATTTGATACTTGATTGATTTGGGTGTTGTTTGAAAACAATGATTTTCCTTAGTTAAAAATGAAAAATTTTATCGTGATTTTTGGGATGTTACAAGTTGGTATCAGAGCCCTAGTTTGAGAGATTTGGATAAGCATTCATGTGAATCCAGACTCAAATTATGGATCTATAAAATTTTTCAAAACAAGTTCCAAATTTATGGATGAGGAAAATTAAGAATGGGATGGTAAAGGACTCATTATGTCAACCTATTTTAGACAAATGTGAAAAGAAATGAAGAAATGGCAAATTTTACAAAAGTTGTGAACTAGAGGGACTAAATGTGTAAAATCCAAAAATAAGAATGAACTCTCTTCATTTTCAGCAAAATAAGATCGATGAGAGGAAGTAGAAGGCTGGGAAATGGCGATTATTCACTCCTTGACATCTAGGGTTTGATTCAAGTGGAGTTTTGAAGCGTCCAAGCAAGAAGGGAAGCAATCAAAGGCTAAGAAGGTATAAATCATTCTCAACTACCTCTATTTTTCGAGTTCATCATTAGGGATTGAACCCCAATGTCGATTTTTTCCTTAATAGATGATTAGGGTTTGGTTTTCTAACCTCCATTGAGTGGTTTCCATGGTTCTAATCTCAATTCAATCATCGTATTGGTGGATTTGATTATTTGGGTAAAAGCTCCATGAACCCTAGAAAACCTAAATTTGGGAATATTGCAATTGATGATGAAATGAGATTGGATTCTATGACCTAGATGGTATTTGATAGAAAAAAAAACAATTGCAATGCTCAAATTCATCCATGATGGCAGAATCAAGCATAAAGATGGGTTTTAGATGGTTATGTGAGAAATTGTGATGAATACAATGAAATTCTTGGAATGTGAGCATTTAATGAGTATATGATACTATATCATGAGTTGATACTAACAATATGATTTGAATGCAATAACATGAAGGATTGAGTGGTCTATAGTTGAATTTATGGAATAATTGGCCATAAGGGTATTTTGGGAAATTTATGGATTATTACATAGATTTTGACATATTAGAAGTAAATGACATTCATGAACATGAATTAACATTCTAGATATGTTATTAGAGAATTAACATGAAGTATTGCTAGTGAAGTTCTAGCTCTAATGATTGTGTTGACCCAAGGGTAATTTGGTAACATGGAATGGAATTGAGGATTCCATAGTTGAATGAAGTACTTGCAATGAGATAAATTGTGGTTCTATGTACTTAAAAACACCCAATTATGTATTAAATGATTTGGGAATAAGTCGTATTGGTTAAAGAGTATTCTTGATCAACTTGAGCTCTTAAACCTTTCATTTGAGTGATTGTAAGCATTAAGGTCTTAATGATTAAGTCATTATGTGGGTAAGGGTTAATTGAGTATTTGAGAATTTTATAACCTTTATTTAGTCCTTAATAATTGTTTGGTAAAGTTTGGTAGCCATTGGATGTATAGGGATCAAGTTACAAAGTTTTTAGCAAAATTCTGCACAAAATGGTGACCTGCAGTTTTGACACGGGGCGTGTCAAACAATCTGTTAAATGTAATATTTTCATGGAAAACCTAGCAAATGACCTTCGATTGCTCTTAAACTTTATATATAAGCTAATGTGAAGTAAATAAGCTTATGGGGGATATCTAAATGATAAAAATCCATGAGGGGTATTTTGGTAATTTTAATGACTTATGTTCATCAATGTGATATAGGAGGTGATTGAGAGTGTTTCTCTAAGGAAAGGAACTAGAAAAAGGACTAGCAAGCCTTCTTGTGATTGAGGTGAGTACGTGTTGGCATTTTCCCCACTTTGGGGTACATGAAAAAATGAGTTTTATAATAATGAAATACTAATGTTTTGATATATGAAACGTTTTGAAGTGAAAGTCTTAAATTCTTTTGGAAAGAATGTTTCAAAAGAAATGCCTTGAAGGCACGAATGTTTTTTTAAAAGCAAAGAACGTTTTAAAAGAACAAATATTTTGATAATGTGTTTGAAATGTTTTGAAACGAGTATTATGATACTAATGTATGAAATGTGTAAAGCATGAAAAGTAATGACAAGAAATGTATAGTAATGAAAAGGAATGGAAAGTAATGAAATGAATTGGAAAGTAATGAAATGAAAACTGCCCGGGCCATGATACCTCGTAAGAGGCACTAGATGAATCTATCGGGGTGGCGCCTCCCCTTTGCGAGATAGATTTCCTAATGGAAATGATGCCTTGGTGGATTGATTTGTTCTTTCCACCTTGGTCTAGACTTGGGAGTGGTTCCTTTATTGGACGTAGACCCTAAGTATAAAAATGGCAACGGTTTAATACCGGAATTAGCCCTTAATGATAAAAGAAAATGAAATATGGAAATATGGCTTTTGAAATGAAATGAAATGAAATGATAAGATATGAAATAATATTTATGACATGTATGAAATGAGTTTTACTTGAAAATCCTTGAAAATGTTTTATGGTCTAAAACTATGTTTTGCAAAGACGAAATGTTTTTGGTAAAAATGTGATAAATGTTTTGGGTCACTAACCCACGTAGCTCACGAGACATTATTGTCTTACGTATCTCTTTTTAATGCCATGTATCTCAGGTTAGCTTTAAGGAGAGATGATGATAGATGGAAGTTAGAAGTCAAGTGATAGAGTATGGAGTGGAACTTGTTAAGTTCATTGTTAATTATATTGATGTAATTCTTATTGGCTTGCTATGG